TAGGGAATCAGAGGCTCATGGTGGTGGAAGCTGAATGGTTTCTCTCACAGGGGACTTTATAAGCTTTGGGTGCAGGGTATAATATTCCCAGCAAGGAAAGCCCTTCAGCTTCCCCTGCCAGGATCTTTTGATCTCCCACACCCAACAGCTCAGCCAGGTGCAGGGTTTCAAGTCCTTGGCAGGAGTAAACACTTGAACCCCACCAGGATTGACAATCAACTGACTGCCAGCCCTGGTCCACGCAGTCACAGATCTGGCTGTTGAGGCCAGGTGATGTGCTGGCCCTGCTTCTGGAGTTGCAGAGACCTAACTTTCAACCTGCTGGTACACGAGAAACCTGGGATCATGGTCCCAGGCTCCCCCCTGCACTGGCAAGTAGCAATGGCTCCAGTGGGCTCTGATTGCTGATCCCAAAGTGGCACCTCCTTCCATATACGCATGGCATCGGAGATGCAATTGTTGGGATCCGATCCCATCATGCCTTTAAATGAATGTGTGCCAGTGGCCACAGAAAGTTGCATCGATTTAATCCTAGTTTACAGCAGTTCATCTTGTGCTATTTTATTTACAGGATATGTTGCTGGATTCAGTTTTAAAAACAGGTATTAAAAACGGTAGTCTACACAGAAAACTGGTTTAAATTAAAGTGTGCCTGCTACATTTAGATTAAGCGCTAGTGCTCTTGCACTACAAAGAAAAGTAACTTCAACAAGACCCAAAATGGCTAGAAATCCAACCGAGACCCAGCCTTATTTCTGAAGTGCTTCATTTTTTAGAACATATTAAAGGGTGACTTTTGATTCAAACAAAGGAAGACTCATGCCACTCACTACACAGTTTCAAAAAGAAACAAGTTTTTGATGCTCCCAACACAAATACTCTGTAGTAAGCATACAGACTGTTTTTATTATCCTGTTTACTAGCTTTCGTTCTCTATCCTTCATGAGAAGGCCATCACCATTCCTTTTATCATATGGTCAAGGCTAAAGGCCCAAGCAGAAGCAGATGCATCCTGGATATCAACACATGGCTGCACAGATGGTGCCACCAGCATATCTTTGACTCCTTCTGTTCCAAGGACTACCAGACAGAGGTGGGATCCACTTAAAGTGGAGGAAAAAGCATTTTTGTACATAGCCTTGCTAACCTAGGGAAGAGTCTTTAAACTAGCTTTAAAAGCAGGTAAGGACAAAAGCCCACAGGTAAAGAGTAAGTAACTTGGATAAAGGCCAAATAAAAGAAGGTACTATGGGGAGTCTTAACAAGGTTAATCAGCAAGAAATTAGCAGGGCATCTGGCTAGTCATCTATCTAACATGTTTATATGCCAATATGAAAAGCTTTGGAAATAAGCAGGCAAATTGGGCCATCTCAATATGATCACACAACTGTGAGACAACTGGAATAATTAACACTTGGTAAAATTGCTCGCATGACTGGCATACAGTCATGGATCGATGTTAATGGTTCGGAAGTAGAGACAAGGGGGAAAAAAAAAAAAAAAAGGAGCTGGTGTTGCTTTTAATACAAGAAAAACACACAATTGTTAGGAGGTGTGATACATAACTGGAGGAAGATGTGCTGAAAGTTTCTGGGTCAAGGTGAAATTGAAGACTAATAAGCAGGGACCACTGGTGCATGCTGCGTGGCAGCTCCTTTAATCTTGCAGTCCACCCCGCCTTGCCCTCCAAGCAGCAGGAAGGTGAAAACCCTAGTTTTAAATATGCCATTGGCAAAGGGGCCCTGGTGGCCCCACCACTTGCTGCTGACTAGACAGGAGGCAAAAACCGTGGCATATTTAAAACTTCAGTTTTCACCTCCCTGCCATCAGGAGCAAGCATTGAGGCCAAGGGGGGCCCTCCACCAATCAGCTGCAGAGGGGGGGGTGCCATGCAGGGGAAACTGCAAGATTAAAGGAGGTGCTGTGCAGTGCACTTCTGGCACAAATTCTAGTGGTCCCTAATAATGAGGGTGATGTCACATTGAGTGTTTGCTGTAGACCAAACTAAAAGGAGATGGTAGGCATTTCCCCCCCCCCCCCCCAAACAACCATCCCCAAGCTTACAAATCACAGCAACTGGTGATAACAGAGGACTTTAACTACTGTGACATCTGCTAGATATGCAACATAGATGAACCCAGGTACTCAAGGTGACAGTGGGCATGTCTACACGAGATGCTACTGCACAGTGTTATTGTGCATTTATTTAGCAGTTGTATAATCAAGCACTAAATTAGATGCACAGTAACCAGCAGCAGCAGCACACTGATAAAGATGTTCTTGGCTGATACCGATAGCCAATTATTAACCAGCCATATCAGCCGATACCAATCCAATAGCCAATTAACAGGAATGTAGCCGGGCAGCTTGAAGAGCAGTGTCCTGTCGGTATGTCTGTGGGGTGGGAAGGAGCGAGGAGGGGGGGGCCGATTGAGGCCCCCAAGGTGAGGGAGACAGTGACTGTGACCCTGGGATGGTGCGGAGCTATGGTCCACTATGGTCCAGGGGTTGTGGGGTCTGGTGCAGCTCCCCACCACTGCACACACCCCCAGGGAAGCATGGAGGGCTTGTGCCCCCTTGGATTTGTGCACAGGACAAAGGCGGGCTGTCTCCTCAGGGGTTGGGGCCAAGGGCTGTGCCAGCCTCTTCCCAGTGGGGAGGGCTGGACCAGGGCTGTACTCTGGGTGGGCAGGGGCAGGGCACGCTCAGCTGCATGGGGTGGGCAGCAGCAGCGGTGCTGAGAGGGGTGGCTAAGGGGAATTCTGGGGTGGTTATAACCACCCCTCCTCCGAGTACTGCCACCATCACCTACCCTGTGCAGGTTAATCTCCCCCTCCTGCCCGAAGCACAACTCCTTCTCCCCCACCCCCCAGGATGAGGCTGGTGCAGCCCCTGGCCCAAAGCCCACAGCTGGCAGCCTGCCTTCACCCCACACACAAATCCAGAGGGCACATGCCCCCCATGCCTCCCCTGGGGGTGTGCACAATGGGGAGCCATCCCCACGCCCCTGGACAAGCCGCCTGTGGTTCTGCCCTGTGCCCCACCCCGAGTCACATTCACTACCCTGACTGGGCAGCACCTGCCCCACTCTCTCCCTCATCATGGGGGCCTTGATCTGCCCCACCCCCGGGTGACCCTTCCTTCCCAGACCTACCAGGAGGATGCTGCTCTCCAAGCTGCCTGGCTGGATTTCTGGTTGTGTGCATGCTGCAGCTACATTCATGTGGCATTCATCAGAGACATTATCATGCAAAAAAGCCGATTGTCGATAATGCCTTTTTGCCCATTATTGGTGCCAATTCGATATGCGACCGATATATCAGTGCACCTCTAGTAACTGGAGTTACTGTGCAGTAGTGCTGGAAAACACTTTTAGTGATGCTGTTGCGCAGCAGCCTAATAATACTTTGTGTTAGCATATTAGCACTTTTTGTGTTGTGATGCGCTACCGTGCAGAATTATTGCGGCTACTGTGCAGTTAGCGTCTTGTGCAGACACACCCAGAAACCATGAAATAATAGCATTAAAGATCCTAAAGGAAGGAAACAAGAGCAGAATAAAGACAGTGGCTCTAAACAACTTAAAGAAACTGGTGGGCAGGATCTTACAATAGGAGACAAGTCTAAGGAGAAAAGGAGTCCAGGAGAGTTGGTTGTGCCTTAAAGAGGCTATATTAAACAAGATAAACACAGGCTATCGTGATGCAAAGATAGACTAGAAAGTGCAGCAAGAGACTGGCCTGGATATTGAACTTTTCAATGAAGTTGAAACTAAAAGAGGAATTTTTGAAAAAGTAAAAACTTGACCATATAATTAGGGATAAATAAAAAGCACCGGTATGCAGGGTGAAAAAATCAGGGAGGCCACGACATAAGATGCAATTGGCAAGTCAACAACAAAAAGAGCATTCAATAGATATTTTAGAAGAGGATGACCAAGGAAAAGTGTAGGTCCCTAAACAAATTAAGAGACGATTTAATAATGAATGATACAGAGAAGGCTGACGTATTTAATACCTTTTTTCCTTCAGTCTTCATGAGTAAGGTCAGCTATCAGGTGACAAACACAGTTAACAGCAAGGAGGAGGATAAATGCCTGTCGTAGGGAAATAATAAGTTAGATTAATCGAGAAGCTGAGTGTTTTAGAGTCCACAAGGCCAAACAAGATACATCCTAGAGTACTAAAGGAACTGGCAGAAGTCATTTCAGCCACTGGCTTTTCTTTTTGAAAACTCACTGAGGCTGAATGAGATGCCTGGATAACTGAAGAAGTGGGAGCAAATACATCGCCCTTCTTAAAAAGAATAAGGATACAAGAGATTATAGACTAGTTATCTAACTTTGATATCCGGAATGATTTTTGAGCATGTTTTTAAGGACCTTTTAAGGAACTTGTTTCTAGGCACCTGGAGGAAAACAAGGGCCATCAGGAACAGCCAACATGGATTTGTCAACTCAACCAACCTTATTTCCTTCTATAAAAGGCAACAGGTTTTATGGACAGTTGGAGGGGGAGGGGACAGAAAGAGTAGTACACATCATACTGTATATGTTTTTACCATTTATAATGTTCCCTGAGTCTGAGGAAGGGCATGTGCGCCTGAAAGCTTGCAGACAAAGATAATTTTTTTCCAATGTCTTAGTTGGTCTAATAAAAGGTATTGATGAACCTAGAATTCCAGGGTTTTGCATTTATTTTAGAGTAAGACTTTCAACACTGTTGTCTCCCTATGACACTCTCTTTAGTGAACTGAAGAAATACAGTCTAGATAAAAATATTGTAAAGTGGACATATGACTGTCTGCTCAAGACGTAATCATCAATGGCTCAATGACTCATGGGGGGAGGTATTGAATGGAGGCCTCCAGGGGTATATCCCGAGCCCAGTACTGTTCAATATTTTCACTAATGACTTGTGGGGGGCAAGAAGAAAGGGATTTGGTGGTAGGGGTCTGCTACAGACCCCCACATCAAGGGGAAGAGCTAGATTTGGGGCTCCTGAGGCAGCTCTCGGAGACCATAAAAGCTAAAGAGGAGGTAGTCATGGGGGACCTAAACTACCCGGACATCTGCTGGGAGACGCAGACGGCAAAGTCCCACCGGTCACGCAGGTTTCTAACCTGTGTACAGGACCTTCACCTGACACAGGAGGTACACAGTCCCACTAGGGGGAATGCCTTACTGCATCTGGTATTGGCAACGGGGGATGACATGGTAGGGGACCTACAGATCGGTAGCCATCTGGGGGACAGTGATCACCTAATAACAGATTTCACCATAAGACGTCGAGTGGGTAAGGTAACTAGTAGGGTGAAAGTACTAGACTTTAGGAAAGCTGATTTCAATGAACTCAGGCGATTAGTCAAGGACGCACTGCAGAGTAGGAGTTTTGAAGAGATGGGAGCCCAGGAAGGGTGGCTGTGCCTTAAGGAAACGATCCTTCGGGCACAAAGCGAGACGATCCCGATGCGAGGAAAAAGAGGGAAAGGGGCCAAGAGGCTTCCTTGGCTGACCAGAGAAATCCAGGGCAGCCTA